AATGTTTTAATAAACATGTTTCATAAGTTCATTTTAGTGCTCTAAAACATTCAAAATAGTAATGAATCATGGTATAGTTGTGTAAATGTGACGGATAGTTTTCAGGGATATTACTTTACGCCAATGTTTATTTTTGAGATGTTGTATGGGGCAATTTCATACAACAGAAAAAATGTACTTTTTTAAACATTTTGATATTAGCAAAAGCGTGACCCACCACAATTTTTTTGGAGTGCATTCTAATTTACTCCCTTCATGTGTGGTGAAAAACTTGGGATGGGTCAAGCTTTTGCTCACACTTTTTTATCACTCTGAAAATATGAAAATGCAGGTTTTTCGAAGATATTGTAAAATAGGTTAACTTTGAGGTCTTCAAAGAGGGAAAAAACAGCACTTAAACTTATAAAAAAACCATATGGAGGTAATTTCAACAATTCATTTAGCATTTTTTATGCTAAAATTATCATGTTGTAGAACTTTGACTATCATGAAATTTTGTGGGCCAATAAGGGCCTTTATCATACCTTGTCCTTTGAAACTGTCACTTTTGTAACCTAAGATAGGTCTTTGCATACCACCATTTGACTTATGTAACCCATTTATTAGGAGTATGTTGTATTTGTTATGAAAACACATATATATGTATATGTATATTTGTGTCTGCATGGGAGATTTTAAAAAGTATTCATTGAATATTGAAAGTTTTTAACATTTTACCCCTAAAAATGGGACTTATCATTATATTTCAAAGGAGGAATACTTGGTACACATTAATTATAAATTATACATGTTTAAAACATTGAAATCATTTGTACACCTATTTTATTGAGGTTTAGTTACATTTTGTTTGGACTAAGAGAGCTATTTATAGATTGATGTTAGTTTTTAAAACATCGTATGTTATCATGAAATATATGACATGATATAGCTAAATGTATACACTCTTGATGTTATAAGTAGATTGTTGATGTTATAATATGCTATTTGGTGTCAATGTAAGCAAGGTTGACTGAAAGTATATTTACATGATCAATTCATGCAGTTTGTTTTTAGTTATTAATAGTGAAAACAGTTGTTTCTTTATAAATAAAGCATGAGTAATGGTCAAGATGTGGAAGAGTTTGAAATTTTGAATGTGCATATACATGATTATTTCTGATTTACTTACCCTTCGAAATCAGCTGCATCAATGCGTCCTTGAGCATGGGTTACCTCTTGTGGAATTATCTGTTGAAGAATTTGTATAATTAAATATCAATGCATCAATAATTTTATAATGCCTTGTTAGTAATAGTGATGTTTGTAGTTTATTTTAGTTTGTATGTATAAATCCAGGTTATAGGTAATCTTTAGCAAAGTATGCTTGTTATAAGAGACTAGTGTGATTGAGTGATCAGGGTTGCTGTCTTGGGTGATATGTCATGATTGCATAGGCTGTTGTTTGTGTTGTTCATCACTGGAATTTTTTATTTAAATTTGTATATATATACAGATTTTGACCATAAGGTTAAAATATTGCTGCAAATGGTGTACATTGAATTGAGTCAATATTCTTGGGTGTATATTGTTAATTAGATGTAGTGAATGGTATTAAGAAAATTTACCTCCATTGTGGTGTTTGATGTAGAATTTAGTTCCTTATTTGCATTGTATATGTTCACCCTCAAGTTGGTGAACTTTACTTGTCTAAATTGTGGAACATCAAGGAGGCTTTGTTCGCCCCACAGTTTAACTGTGATCCGTTCCTGGTCCTCTGTCAAATGGATGATTTGTTTCCTAACTCCAGTGGTAGATCTGGGATAGGCCTGTGCAAAGGGGAATATTGTAAATAGTATATGTGTATTAAATTAATTAATTTCTTTACATTGAAAGATTGAACACTAAAGTAAATGTTGGTGTAGTTCTTAAAAAACATAAAATATGATTTGAATAGGGATTTTGGTAGTAACATAATCAAAAATAATGTGTTGGTTAAACACTAACCTGGATAACTTTCCCGATGATCGATAAACGTGTGTTTATTGGAGCAGTTAGGGCTTCTGTGATGGTCATTATTGGTGGGTTGTAATATGATTCAATAACTTCTCCATCGAAGTCAAATGGCAGTGTTGACAGGATCTGAAATGTTGTAATATATTTTATAGCTGTTACTAAGAATAGACAACACAATCAATACAAATGTGCATATTTAAGCGAATACTATGGGGTTTAACATTTTTGCTCATTTAAGTGATAGGAAAAAAATTGTTTTTCAACCTGCAATAAATATTTGTCAAGCAAATAAGTTGTGATAGGTTTTGTCAGTTATTGAATGTCTTATGGCAGGGTAATAGTTTATATTTTTAGAAAATGTTATTGATGTTATGTGTAAATTATAATATTGATATATGAGAAACAAGCAAAGTAAGTTAAATGGTGTATTTACTATATTTTTAATACTTTTTTTTAAAATTACAGAGTTTCACCAATGTGACAGTTGGTGATATATGTAATGGATATTTTTGTATGAAGATTTTATGATATTCATTTTGGATAATACTTACTTTTGTGTTTGTTCCAAAACGCATGGTACCATCCACTGTGAAGTTAACACTCGTAGCCATGCTGAACCCATTCCTTAGAGTGGGGAAGTTGCTTGGCATTCTAACAGTCGTAATCTTGTTTGGCTGGGTGCTCAGAATCACATATGATTCCTTGAATTCGCCAGACCTTGATGTGAGTGTTGCCGCGTCAGTAAAATTGTAGAATTTTACATTCTGGTTGGTCTGAAATAATATTAGAAAAATGTAATTTTTGATACATTATAAAAGTTTAAGGGTCACATGCAATGCAAAATAGAACTTTGCAGATTCTGATACATTTCGGTATGATTTTACAGAAACAAATCATCCAAAATACAAGTTTTATTTTTAAAACTGGAAAATAACATGATGAAAAAAGTAACACGAAATTGGACTTTAAACAATTCACTAATTTCACCTTAGAGTTGGGGTGAAAAGTGGTTTCAACAGTTATGCTGCGTTTCAGTTATAACACATGCACAGTAAATAGGTATGTGGAACTTGAAACAGGATTTATGTCTGGTGTCACGAATAGAATATATTTGGTTGTGTACACAAACAGGCATATAATGCACCATTACATAAAAAACAAGTGATAGTAATAAGTAGACTGTCACAAATTGCCTGTTAAATTGGTGTTATGACCTTTTTCGTTTTTAAAATGACAATGTAATGAATATATGCTTTTGAAATAAAACTCATTCGGAGTATGTCGCATGAGTATGTGCCGGTATTCATTTTGATGTCAATGTATTTTAAGTTTTCAGTTTGTTTTATAAACCGCAGTGGTTTCATGATCAGTTTTGAGTGTAATTAAAGCACCTGACAATGTTGTATATTAGGTTATAGTTATTCATTATTTTTCCAAACTATTTTTGTAGATTTTTAAACAAGTACTGGTAAAGTTGTAAGTATGAATATTAATGTGATTAATTTTTATGCATTAATGTTTTGCAGACGATGCGTCTACAAATTTTGACACTGCTACTGATTTAATCAAATGTAGTTGTTTTGTAAACATATAGGCAAGAAAAATAATGTAGGTACATGTAATATCATGGTTATTTTGTAATTGCTGTCCTTTAAGTCTTTATAAAGAAATGTTTTGTGAAGGTTAATATATTGTGGTTGCTACATTTGTGAACTAACAACACTGGAAAACATATTGTTGTACAAATTAAACAATGGATTTACATATTTTGTACAAAAATTAACATAATATTTTATTGTAGATGACATTCATATTTTGTTTGTAATTTGTATGATGAACCAAGAGATGTGTTTCTCAACTCAATTTGGTTAATATTGTTAAATATAAACAATACTATATTAGTAACATTCTGTAACTTTTTGAAATATGTCTGCAAATCCAGGAAATCTGATATTTAACAGACAAACATTTTATTTAGGCAATATCTATGGTATGTGTTTACTAATTCACATATTCAATGTATGAAATGTTTAAATAGCATAGTGATGATAACAACGTATGTACATTGGAGTCAGAATTGTTCTTCAATTTTGAAGTTGGTTATAAGACATAAATAACTGGATTAAGTGGTGAGTGAGTGAGTGAGTTAATATTTAACGTCACATCGGCAATATTTCAGCAATATCGTGACGAGAACATTCGATATTAGAATGAAATTTATGTATATTATAAAAAACCTGCCGACGAAGGGCAGTAAAACAACTAGAATATCACAGATATCAATATAAAACTAGCGAACAAAGCTAAAATATTCCAATTAAAGAAGACAATACACTACAAAAATAAGTTGGTTTCCGGAACACTGAAACTGAGAGGAAACGGCATGGAAACCACCATTTCCAGTTGGTTTCCATGTAGTTTCCTAAAGTTTCAGTGTGGTTTCCATGAAAACTGAAACTGAATTTTGCACCATTTCCGGATGGTTTCCAGTGCGTTTCATTACCCACTCCTCCAAGCAGTATCCAGCTGGTTTCCATGTTTTAGTTTATTGTAGGTTTCAACCTGGTTTCCATTTTTACGTTTACTGTAGGTTTCAACCTGGTTTCCATTTTTTAGTTTATTGTAGGTTTCAACCTGGTTTCCATTTTTTAGTTTATTGTAGGTTTCAACCTGGTGTCCATTTTTTAGTTTATTGTAGGTTTCAACCTGGTTTCCATTTTTAGTTTATTGTAGATTTCAACCTGGTTTCCATGGTTTTGTTTAATGTTGGTTTCAACCTAGTTTCCAGGTCATAACTTTCATAATACTTTACCCACTCCTCCATTTAAGCTCCTGCTGCTTTCCATGTGTTTAGAATATTGTTGTTTCAAACCTGGTATCTATGAAACTGAATGCTGGCTATTTACCTGCTCCCCCAGGTGTTACATGTATCAGATAGCAAATCAGGTATTTTATACAATTGAATAATGGTAAAACCTTTAAGATGACAAATAACAGAATAGAACACAAATGAATGAAAAGTTTATTAACAGTCAAAACTCTTTGATTGTGAACATGGTTAATTAATTATGTATCTAGCTACATGTATATAACATCAGGGACATAAGAGTAAGTGAGTATAGTTTTACTCCGCTTTTAGCAATATTCAAGCAACATCACAGCATGGGACATCAGAAATGCGTCTCGGGAATCAAAATCAGCAGTGGTGTTCAGCTGGTCTTCTTCTGCTGAACTTTTCACTGCCCAACTGGGCATGTCCAGTGGCAGATCAGCGTGTTGGACTTGTGTGGGATGTCTTCCCCACATCTTCATATTTTTTCGGCCCCTTGCAGTAGCCTTGAACAACCGCTGGTAGTCCAATTGTCGCTTATATGAACAAAGTTTCTTGCTTTCCCACCAGAAAGCAGTTGACAAGAGAAGATTTTCATCCTCTTCGTCTGACACCATGCGTGATGTCAGCTCTTTCCTCAAGAGAGGAAGAACTTTCTCCTTCTTCTTCTCCGGCCAGTCTATGGTTGCAATGGCCTTCAGCCTGCTTTCCAGTTTCTGAAATTTAGAAAACGATAAACAATCAGTACAAACAAACATTCATCAACAACATCCGTAGCTAGAAAAAAGAAAACCACCCAATATTGCTGTAGGAAAACTAAATTGAAACTACTGTTGTATAAGCAAGTAGTAATAAGAAATCTAACTAATCACCTGAAATGACCTGTAAAGGGGCAAAGATTTCAATCACAGTACAACTTAATGAAATTTGAAAGAGTACAGACACAAGTGAGAGAAGGACATATTTCCTTAGCTTGGGTTGGACATTTCACGACTGATTCTCTTTCAATAAATTATAAATGTGACTTATGGGAAACTGACATTGAATCAATAATATACCTTATGAATGCTCACTAAATTTATGAAATACTGGTCACTGTCGTTGCCTACCTATCTGCAAAATGTTCCTGTGAAAGCCATCTTATCTTCTGAAAGTTGCATAAATCATGTTTAGATATTATGTGTATAGAACTATGAATTACCCATTATTGTGTCAAAGGAAGCATATTTTCTTACACAGTTGTTTTTGGTCTGAACATTTCACCTTGAACACATCAATTAACAATTATTTATTAACACCACCACACTTGTTAGAAACTGCAAATACAATAATGTGAGATATAAGATTGAGGGGAACTCCCATTCAGTTTCTAGTCGACTAGAATGACCCCACATTTAAAACAAAACTATACACTGGTGCTTTACTATTTAAAACTTATTAAAAAATGTTCATTTTGAAATTTCTTTTGAATGTCACAGTACAATACAAGAAATTACATTACCTTCCAATTGTTTCCAATCAAATTCATGTTAAAACTTTAACCTGTGTAAGATTAGAATTTAGAATGATTAGATATTCTGTACTTACTGATCTGACCCTTTTGCTGTTCTTAGCAGACAACCTGTGGGCCTCTGCCTTTCCACTTCGTTGTCTTCTCAGGTCATCCCTCTTGTTGGTCCACACCCACCAAAAAGCTTCTGAAAGGAAATATGTATAAGTAGAAAGTATTTCCATTTGGATGTTAAAAAATAGTAGCTGTTTTTATGCATTTTCCCGATTTATAGGATTTACATTTTTTTAAACATGGTTTAGCATTGTGAGTACTAGTGAAGACTGGATAAAATAACTTTATTTCACAATTGCATTTTAAAGAAACAATAATATTTGAAATTATATTACTGAAATAATATGGCTGTGCATTGCAAATTCTGTAGGGAGGATTACAAAATGACATGAATGTAGTGCTAATACAAATATGAAAAGATGTTCACCTTCAACATGGCCATAACTTTGTTGTAATTTCTTTTCATGTACACAGAATTGTTTATACTGAAGGATTTGAGTTACCTGTTGTAGGTCAAAATCAGTTGGTCATCGGTCGCCTTCTTCAATTTTTCCACCACTGCCCTAATGGATTGCTGGAAATGTAGAAATTAATCGATTAAGAAAACAATAAGGCAAAAACAGAAGAATAAATATCAGTAGAATACAATAATATGAAAAGAAACCAGATATGAATAATTCATATATTATTTTAAATTGACAATGTATAAGTGTATCCCTATTAATAACAACTTTATTATTAAACTTAAATATCAAAAGCAATTTTCAATAACAAACTTTAAACGAATTTCCATACACTGGTTTTCTTACATAAGGAAATATTCGTATTTATTAAATCTAAATACGTTTGGAAGTGATCTTGAGTCTTTACAACGTGTCAGTAATATAGCTGGATATGTATGTGGTCTATATATTTATTGCAAACATAATATTTCATACATTACCATTATGAATGAGTTGACGGGGCACTGGGTAATAATAATCTCCTTGCCAAAATGTCCACACCCATTTGCTTGTCGAGTACCATCAAGTCATCATAATATTTATTGTCCTAGTTATTTATTACGATAAACGAATAACATTCTATCGGGAAATGTAATATCAAGAAACTTTCACTGTACCTGATAAGGTCGTGGGACGTTCTGTTTCTCTCTCTGTGATCGACGACTGCTGCTGAATTCCAGTTCGCGTACACGAACCTCCAAAGCTTCTAGAGACACTCTCGATGCCATTTTCTCGATTTAGATAATACGTACAAGCGTAGGAATAATCCATTGTGTTGAGTTTCTTATATAGCATATCGTATAAACGGGCGCCACAGATTAGGGCTACGTTCAAAACAACTCCTGAGATCAAGAGACAAAATGGCGGCAATATTGAGGGTTACAAACGGGATTAGGGGCATTGTGGGTAATAACAAATACGTAATCCTTTTTCGATTGGCAGGTATGAAAACATTGCCTAGACCCAATTTGGTTGTGATTTCAAGACAAAAGTTGAAATTGACCACTTTGGCACATAAATCGTTGTTTTGATGAAATCTCACGAGTTCGCGTGCCCACCGACTCATTATTTCCGGTTTCGTCTGTCAACACATGGTTTCGTCTGTCAACACATGATCAGGTAAGTTCCCATTGTTTTTACAGCTATTTCAATTTGATAATAGGAGCCCCTAAGACGAGACAAGCCCAAGGAAGCCGACAAACGAATCCCGACACTCAATTGACCTGACACTGATTATTTGTCAAGTTCTCAGTGTTAAAGCATACTAGCTATAAACGCTTTTACTGGTAAATGTTACTCACTTTAAACCCTCAACTACCTCAATTCATAGTAAATCTTTGATATTCTGGTTATTGAGAAATCCCATCATGTAAGTACCAGATGACGATTGTTTAAATGACATTATTGTTACCATCCCAAATACTCTTTTTCATATTCCAAAGCAAACGTTATTTTTTCACGTTTATGATTCGGCATTACTACAGTAGTATTCATCGTAGAATACCATTCATCCATATACATGTATATTAGATAAAATGTGACTTAGAATATTAACTCAATTATTATGATAATTATTATGAAAAATACATATTTAGTGGGGTTTTTTTTTCAATGTTAGATATACCATAACGGTTTAGTAATTCAACTTTCAATTTCCTTTTTAGGGTGAATAAAGTTTACTGTGAGCACTGTAATCAATATGTCTCACGTAAAACAGCATACAATCACAAGAGATGGCTTACTAACAATGGTAAGTTGTACATTATTTCTAAAGACATTAATGATGTTTCACAGAAGTACAAAGTCTCCTGCATACATTCCCCATAAAATATGGGGAACATAGAGTAGGAGTCATAGTCTGGTGACATCATGGTGTTATGTAAATACAAATTCTAACAGTATAGTGATTTGGTGTCCCGAAAGGACCAGTTCTTTATAAACACTCAGCATCTTGGTTCGACAACAACAGCATCAGTTCATAGGTAAATAGAAAGTTTTACCAATGTACCTTTATATGCTGAGTCAATTCACCTTTCAAAATTTTATTCTTGCATATCATTGTTTTATTATGTCATTTCAGAAAAAACAAGTGCCCCATCCTTGATTGACCAAAACAAAGAGGAGGTGTGCATTGATACTATCTTTTGTTTTGCATATGTTTCAAATGTTATAATTCAGGATATGATATTTACATATTACTTTATAAACATTGAAACCCTGATAAGTAAACTACTGATGAATGGCAACCCTGGTTAAGTAAACCTTTTTCTCAATAACCTTCATTATTACATGATGGATAAGTAAAAACGAATAAGTGGCAAGTCTGTTTAGTAAACCTTTCTCTCTCAACAATCCCTTCGGACAATTTACAACAGAAATGTGACAATACTCGGACCAGTCCTTGTGGATACACTCAGCAGCAATTACCATGTATCACCTGGCATCAACCACTTCGTTGTTAACGAGCCGACTAATTAGTCTTTTCCTGTATGTTGTTTATTGTCATAATTAATCCAAATCGGTGTCAAATCTGCCATACACTGGATACGGTGGATCTGAGTAGAGGGGGCAAGTTCCAACAGAGTGCCACCATTGATCACAAACTTGTGCAGTATGGTTGTCACAATCTGATGGAACAACAGTGTTGACAGGATTCCCTATGCTAGCAAAGGAGAAAAGGTAGGAAAACCAACCAGACATGTATCAAGGCCGTTTAAACATCTTCTTTTTAGTTGATTCATTTTCCGTGTGAAACTATTAGTGTAACCCTATAGTTAAACGACAGTGTGATGCTGATTCAAATGTGTGATATCATAACAGGTGATATTACATGTACTTGTATATGAAATGTTTTGTAATGATGAGTGTTGTTAAAAAATGAATCAAATTTGTATATATCTATATATTTTATTTTATTTTGATCTGCAGATAATTTATTGAATGGTCCAGGTGAAGGGGTCAGGTTGTCGTGATACAATGGGGATACGATGTCTATTTACTTTACTTGGAAATGTGATACAACTTGCTTGAATGGATAAGTGGCAATATGGATAAGGAGCAACTTTTGCCATGGTCCCTTGGAGTTTTACTTATTCGGGTTTCACTGTATTGTAAATAATGCTCAGGTATATTAATTTTAGACATGATTAACTCTACAAGTCAAGTAAATCAAATGCTCAAATAAGCCATATGCGTGCAATATTTCTATCTGTGTGGTAGAAACGTTCTTGTGAATACAAGGCGAAATTTCTACCTTCTGTAATGTGTATTAATATTTTATAATGTTCTGACCATATTGAACAAATTTTGTATTGTTTCAGGTTCCAGATCTGGTGTTCTGTCCAACCATGTTGTTCACCAATGAATTTTACACCTCGGAAGGATATGGGCAGTGCAGCACCCCTGACATTATCATGAACCGATGACAGATCCAACATATCAGCATCAAGTTACCGCTCAGGAAAGATAAAATACTTCCTGAAACACACAATTGAGACAACCGGGGAAACTTTCACAGACCATATATTTGCTGTTGTCGAGTGGTACAAGTCATCGGACACCAACCTCGATTATTTGCCACCAACCTGAGTTTGGCGAAGCAGACAACTAAACCCTGGACCTGCCTCATTCATCCCAATCCAGAGAATCCAATCTAAGTGTGCCTGGTGCACTGAGAGAGCTGGACAAAGGCCATATTTAATTGTTGTTCCTTTACCTCACCATTTGTATGTATAAATACAATGTTTTTGCGCAATCTTTTGTGTATGGTAGTGTAAATATGATACTACCTCATTTCTCTGTTGATAGTGAAAAAACAATGAAGGGAAAGAAATGAAAACGTCTTTTGTTTTTTGTATCATCAAGACACACTGAAATAACATGATATTAACCACCGAACGCCCTGCACAGCCACCCCCACCCCACCAAAGCATAATCAGCTTAAGTTATATTTGTAAATGACCTCATTATTCTGCATAATAATGTAATATGATATGAAAGCAAACCTAAGTTTCAGGAATGGAAACCGACAGTGCACACATAAGCATAAGTTTCTTGTTGGTTTCCATTTCCGACACTATAAGTTTACAGTGTCCATTCTATTAGGAAACTAGGTTACCCAGTTTCAGTGAATGGAAACCAACTGGACGCCAGGATGTTCAACTTCATGCTAGACCATTACAATTCTTCAGTTACTTGTTCAAAACAGTGCTCAGGAAACCAACATGAAACTACATTTTATGGTTTTCTGTTGGTTTCCATTCATGGAAATATCCAACTGCAAATTCCAGGAATGGAAACCATCGGGAAACCTATGACCTTAGTTTCTTGTTGGTTTCCATTTACGGAAATTCAAAAATCACAGAATCCAAAATGGAATCTAGTTGGAAACTCAGTTACTCAGTTTCAGTGAATGGAAACCAACTGGATTCCCCATTTACCCAGTATACGGTTGGTTTCCAGATTTCAGGAAACCAAGTCATTTTTGTAGTGATACAATGTAAAAATGGGCTATAGATCGCCAACAACTGAAGGTAGATCACCATACTAGGAACCATGGGGACTTACATTACTTTCGCTACCTGCATGGATCCTAGTTTGATTTACACCATCCCTTCAGCAGCTGGCGATTGTAGGACAAGTTTAGCCAAAATTTAAATGAACAAATATACTACGATTAAAAATCGGGTAAGCAAAAAGTTAACTTTGAAAGTTTTAGGACTTACGTACCCTCTCAGGAGGACAATAATTTTACACTACTTCAACCCCCTTTGAGGGTACAGCCACTAACAATCTATGTTACTAATTCAAACTACCAATAATAAAATATATATCCATTTACAAATCACTTAACAAATCTAATTCTTTTAAAAAGGCAATAACTAAATGAGAACTAACATTATTAAAAAGATCCTTCAATGTTTTGACATTAAAATACTTATCCCTTGTAATGGAATATTCAATGCAGTCAAGCAAGACATGCTTGACTGTGATTCTTTCATCACAAGGGATACAAAACGGAGGATCTTCGCCTTTCAATAAATATTCATGAGTATATCTGGTATGGCCAACGCGACATCGTCGCATAATGACCTCTTCAAATCTGGACTGACAACCCAAGTAGGTGTAACCAATGTAGGGTTTTATTGCATGTAATTTATTAATACCTACTTGGGTGTCCCACTTCTTTTGCATTAGATCGCGGATGCATGTTCTAATGCTGGCTTTATAATCAGAGTATGGGATCAGAAGTGGTGTCACAGATTTGTTGAGTGCTGCCTTAGCAGCAATATCAGCCATCGTGTTCCCAGAAATGCCAACGTGGCTGGGTAACCAACAAAAAGACGATGTCGCATTGGCCAGTAGCAAGTTCATTGTACAATTCAATAATTTCTAATAAAAGTGGATGTTTGCAAGAAAGATTTTTAATAGCCTGAAGACACGAAAGAGAATCTGAAAAGATGATGTATTGTTTATATTTACGGTGTTTATTAATATATTTAAGAGCTGTTAGTATTGCGTTTGCTTCTGCTGTGAAAATTGAACTGTCATTGGGTAGCCTGGAAGATATTGTTTTGGACCCAATGACAGTGGCACAAGCAACCGCGCCACCATCCTTGGATCCATCTGTATATACGGATTTATAGGTATTATATTTATTTCTTAATTGACTAAATTCTTGTTTATACTGTAGATCATTTGTTTCTGATTTTTTAAATGTGGTTAATGT